AATGTACACCTATATTTAAAAAAAAACTTAAATATTATGTTTTGATTATTTGCTATAAATTTAAGTATTATTCCAGAACGTTATCCTTTGGGACATAATATACATTTTGCTATTGTACTCACTGCTGGATCAACGCATTAATAATTAGTAGTGTCATATGCAGAGCACAGTGAATAAGAGACATGTATACAATTTAAGAGCCATTTACTGGAAATCGGCTATGACAGTCCTTGGTTCACTTGTGCACTAAACCCTCCATACATATATATATATATATATATATATATATATATATATATATATATATATATATATATTTATTTATGTGGTTGACCTATTATGACCTTAATTTCCTTACAAAATAAATTTCAAATTGTTTTTTTACCAATTTATAAGAACAAAAACAATTTCGACGGACTAATGTTTAACTGTATGAAAACAAAAAATAATATATAAAGTCAAACGTTTTTCTGTTATTTCTATGTACAAACACACCCGAAAAGAGTAGTATTTCCTGCGGCAGCTAATTTTCCCCTCGAACGATCTGGAAATCCATAAAAATCCTTTGGCTGTAACTCTTCAACTTGTGTATAAATCTAATATATATATATATATAAGTCAATAGTGTACAGTTTCTCTTGGTCCGTCTCTGATGTTATAGATAATGAAATGAAAAACTGTCTAAATCGATTTAGCTGTACAAAATAAATGCGTTTTGCCGGCAAGGGGAGACGCGTCTAAGCTACCCATAATTTATTTCATAACACAAAACCATTACTTCAAGACATTTTCACAAGTAAAAACACCGTAGTGCTATATTATTGTTGAAATGTTAATTAAATATTAAAGCATTATTACATCATATTTAGTATATTAGTAGCAATATATTATGTGTACAGAGAGTAACTTTGAAAGACTGAATATTTAAAAACAAAATGTTTGATTTAAAATCTGTTTATAGTTTCTAAATTTCTGATTTCACCATAACGTGTTACATTTTTGGACTTGACTATTATTTTGTGATATCAAACATAAATTTTATGTTGAATATTCCCTAAAGTGATCACCTTCCCTATGTAGACTATTTTAAAGGCCAAAATATTGGACATTTCTTTTGTTTAAATATCATAACCCTCGCGAGACCATAATATAGTTTCTACAGTTGTGCCTCAAGATGTTAGCTGACGATAATAATTTCTTAGCTGATCCATAGAAATCATTTTTTTTTTTTTTTTATCTATTTGAGACAGTTTTTTTGGTAAAATCTGAACTACCGATTAGGTCATGACTAATATTGTTTATATTAGTTTTGGAATAATAATTCGGAGGACTATTTTGTAACTAGATGCAATTTTCTAGGTCATTTTTTTTTTTTTTGGTTTTCAGACTATTATGAGTAGCTCTTTCTCTTCATATAGGACGCTGTCATTAATCAAGATCACTACTGCGGATGTCATAATAGACCCCAAAGATAGAGTACGAGAAGAAAATTAACAACAGCAAAAAAAAAAATAGTTGTTATCTGTTTCCTTCGGTGGAACTTGGCCAAGCCAATGTTCTCGAAATAGATAAGTAAGTTTTTTTTTGTGGTTACCCCGTGAAACCCTCATCTCATATAGTTTCCACTGTATCACCAAAGACAGTGACGTTTTGCCAAATTATTAATAATAGCCGTCATTGTCTACCCCCATATTATGTGCAGTTGTGTAGATTGTCGTCAAATGACATACACAAAATAAATTAAGCCTCAACTCGGTGGTTGCGTTTCTATGTGTCTTCTTAACGGATCAGCAAACTTTTGTTTGAAATTAACATAAATTATATTATGGAGATCTTTGATATTTTATAATACCGGAAGGACTTGCACGGTGAGCTCCATAAAACAGTAAAAAAACAGGCGAATGTTTTTGTTTCTCGTTTGAGACGGTAAAAATGTTCTGCTTGGGTTTTACGCCAAAATTAATAAAATATCGCATCGCTCAAATCCGTTGAATATCGCTATTGCTTACTTTCGACAGAATTATATCCGCTTCCGGTGCTAAAGTTTTACCCTGAACTTTTCTCTCTGATACATCATATTATAATATTCTACTCGAAAGTTTCTTAATGTTTCATTTTGCTTTATTAAACACAATCCGTCCCGGGAGACTGTCGAAGTAGTGCATAATATTGTTCTTATTATTATTGTTGCTGTATATTCTTTGACCTCCTCTCAAAGCAGTGGTAAACTTTCTTAGCGTCGTAGATGGGATGTGTTCACTAAAACATGTAATCTAACAATGATTTCTATGTTTAAAAGCTGTTATACATTATATATTATACACACAATGCCACACGCATTATAAAATCATAATAATAAAATCTCAAATTACATTGAAACAATTTCTGATTTTTTTTTGACATTTTCATGTCTTGGCTAAACCGAAAAAAAGTGTTACAAAAAAGCGTTAAATAAACGCTGTCGTTATCAGATGTCACGCTATCTGATAAGAGATAAGATAGAGATAGAGATAGAGATTAGAGATAAGATATAAGATATTAGAGTTGAAGGGGGGGTGATGTTAAATATCCTATTCTATAGGCACTTGAGTATGGATGGCTATAGTAGTATGTATATATATGTTATATTCACAACGATCAAACTATAACTGAAAAAAAATTCAATAATTTAACGGTCATATTCGCTATGAATTATTTTAGGCCAGATATTATGAAAACAGTAAAATATTATCCAGGAACTTGATATGTTTTAATATACTAGCCACCTTAGATACTAGCATGGTACTGCTTGTTAATATACTATTTCAGTATCTATAATTCCACCACTACTCTAAATTTATTCGGTACTTCAACGAGACATGAAAATGTTCTTTCGTAGTTGCAGACTCGGCTGAAAAATGTTTTTTTATTTTATCTGTACAACTTCAATGCATATGCAGTTTACTCGACAATATTCATACATGCGATTGACTACTCAGTGTATATTTAGTTGTTGTTGTTGGGCTGTTTTGTTTATGACAGTTTGAAAGCGTCGTTCAAACTTACTCGAAATTAAGTTTCATTCACATTATGTGGCTATATTATACTAGTAAAATCGTATCTCCTTAGCACTCTCATCAGCCTGTCAGTCAGTAGGTCTAAGAAGTATACAACATAATATTGATACATATAAGGTATATAGCGATTTCTGCTCCAAAAGCTTTTCAGTCACTTTATCCATTCAGCAACTTAATGCACACCAGTGTACTTTACATACAACATACACTATATGTCTTATATGTAGAGTCACTACAGATAACCTCTCTGTGGTATTGTCTTACACAAACAATACAATTGTCTTTACTGTTCTCCTCAAATTCCGGATCCGATCATCAGAAGTATATAGTATCAAATAACGTTTCACAATTATTATTTCTATAATATAGTGACACACATTTATAATTCATTTGAAGTACTTTAGAAATAGACAGCTCGATGGAAACACATGAAGAAACTTTGTGTGTATGTTTTTATTGATAAAACTGCTATTTCATCATCTAAATGGTCGTGCGGGTCGAGTTTTGAGGCCAGCGGCCGCCTTTCCATATAATAAATCAACAAAGACAAAGATATTTTCCTATAATTTGTTTATGGTAATATACATTTTAATATGCAGATAAACTACAAAAATAACCATAAGAATTTACGGGGTATCAAATGTTTTTTTTTTTAACACAAGTTGTCACCTATTTTGTTTCATTATAAAGGACAGTAAACTATTTTGGTTTTATTCGAGACGAAGCTATTATTTATTTCATCCAACTGATGTAGGCATTATTCAGACATTTATTATACACCTATCCTGCCAAAAGCAATATTTTACATTATTTCCAAGACATTCGGAGGTAATAAATTTAACCTAACCAGTAAAACTCATCTTTGAACGTACGGCTATCTTAAACAGTCAACTAAATTTATATGTTGGTTATTTATATTAGTGTAGTACTTTGAACAAATTTTTTAAAACTATTTGTTTTGCCAACTTTTTCTATAACCATAGTCATATTTGTTAAAACGTTTTTCACTTTATAATGTGCATTCATTTTCTTATACTATTATAATATTATTTTATTTTATATAGTACACAAGGGACTAACAAAATCTGTTAAACTTGAGTTCTATTTTGGCATAGGTGTTGCCAAAACTAAGATTTCTATTCCTACCCTTCTCAGATAGTTATTTTAGCCCAAAACGATAAGGTAAAAACATGTTTGTAACAAACTAATTAAGCAAATTTCACGTTAAAATTCTACTAACATCTTCTATTCAATTTCAAAGTTTGTACTTTTATCTTATTTTTAGGTTAATATATGTGAGTAGTACGTTTTGGCCGTATGTCTTCCTGTTGTCACACCTCCACCTATTATCACTGATAAGAGAGCTCTGTTTTTTAACGCAACTCCTTAAAATTACTTCTATCACTAAGATAACTCTTATCGCATAGATAAGAGAAGGAAATGTGATAACAAGAGGACATACGACCAAAACGTACTACTTGTGTGTTTTAATTAAATTAAATTTACACAACCGTATCTCATAAAATTAAATCACAAGTGTTTCCTATTATGTATGTACGGTTTATCTACACGGTGAATATAATTATTAATATATTATGTAAATCTGTTGGCATTGAATTTACCATACGAGTTGAGTGTATTTTTGCGGATAATATCTAAAATTCAAATAAAAAATCAAACGCAAAACTGGTATGTGAGTTTTTTTTTTGAATCCAATAAAGAGACGACCTCGTCTTCAAGACAAACCGAACTTTATCGATTTCTCGTTACCAATTTGTTTTTATTTGATTTCGGAAAATTGAAAGTTTTTGAACGTGGCCGGGCGCAGTACTACTTTTATACATATGTTTGACGAGATTCCTTTGTGTGCACTGTGTACATGTAACAAAACATGTTTTATTTATATTTTTTTAAAGTACATAACCAACGTTTTTGTTTTTGCAGCGTGTAATTGCAACGAACACGCCAAAAGGTGCCGGTTCGACATGGAGCTGTACAAACTGTCGGGTCGGGTGAGCGGCGGCGTGTGCCTCAAGTGCAGACACTTCACGGCTGGCAGATACTGTCATTATTGCAAAGAAGGATACTACAGGGACCCCACTAAGCCCATCACTCATCGGAAGGCTTGCAAAGGTATTTATTTTTCACTTTTTAAAATGCAGGAAAAAAATAACATAAAAAAGAAAATGCTAAAAATTAAAATTATAAAAGAAAAACACTCTTTTAAGCAAGTTTTTTATCTATGCCTTGTCATTGTCGTTGAAACCAAATGTACCTCGTTTAAGAATAGTTTATAAGAAAAAATAAATGGAAAAATTAATAAAACTGCGTCAGTAGAATAGAGTAAAAATTGGCTTATTGAGAAACAACTGACGTCGAGGTCCCTTATATCCATTCTATGGAGGCATTGGAATAATTTAATTTTAAAAAACACATGTTGACAACAATATTAGTCACGCGGTCCGTTCGGGGTAGTAACCGACAACTAGATAGAAAGTACATAATTGTTTGGGAAGATTAATTTTTCAGTTAAATACTGCAAACATAAGGTGGATATGCCGAAAAAATAGTATCTATAAAGATTAAATAAAAAATATTTTTTAAAAAAGAGGTCAGGCCGAAACAACTATTATACGGTTTACTAGACGAATAACCGACGTGGCGGTTCTAACTTGAATTTATGTTTTTTTTTATTTGTTTATTTATGTCATAAATATTCATTGATGTCTAAATGAAAATGCATTTTTTTTTTAATGATACACTTTTTTCCAAGTAAAAAGTTTACTTTATACTTGTATTTGCATAATTGCAGATGTTTTTCCTAGTTTTCGTTTTCCCACAGCGAAACAAAAATGTCTAAATAAAATGTTTTAGTTTTAACAAAGTTTAATATAAACAATTACAAGGATAGCATTTTGTAAAAATATCTGAACATATTTATGTATATCTTCTCGAGGAGTTTTTTTTAACTTTACAATTATTTTAAAAAAACAATGACTTGAATTTTGACAGTTAAATTTTTTTTAAAAAAACCTCTTCGAAGAAACACAATTTTAGTTTCAGTCTTACAAAAAAAAAAGCTATGGAAAATCGAATACTTTCTATCTGAATTTTTGAAAAAGTGAGAGGCATAGAAAACGATTAACAAAGTCTACAACATTTACCACTCAAACTTTCTTGAAAAAACAGTTTTTTTTTTAAATTTTGTTAGTTCTTTTTTATTTTATTTAAAACTATTTTCCGTTATAATTGTTTTTCAGAAAAATTATTAACGCCTCGTGATATTACACTGTACGCCTAAAAACTTTTTTTTAATTATTACATATTTTAGCGTGGTGTATTTTATAAGGTGAAATCATTTTTTAATATTTTTTTTTACACTCTCTGTGCCGCACACAAGCGTCGTTGCCTTTGATTCATAAATGTATGCGTTTATTAAATATCATTCGAGAGTAAAATTCACTGGCCCGAAAGCACATTGACGACACGGCTATGGCAATATTAAACCAAAGCAAATCCAAGAAACGGCATATTATTATTATTATAATATTCTCCAAACGAGAGACTCTGTGAAATACGTTTGATTTGTTTCCATGACAACCTCTGAACAGTAGTATAATAATATGTACACTGCTCTCCAGTCTCGTGCACGATGGCTTATTTAATTTAGTTTAAATTCAAATTTGTATTTCTCCTTAAGTACATCAGTTTCAACAACTGTGTACAGTGTACAATGTACCTATATATTGAGCCTACCGAGTACTAGTATAAGACAAACTCGGTCGGTCGACTGACAATCAACAACGTCGCACATTAATATAGCAGACATTTAGATATGTATGTTATCTATGACAACAATATTGAACTTTTATAATATAATTTTGCCCAAAATAGGGACCGCCTCGTCTGAATTTCCAATATATATATATAAATCATAAAAAACAAAAATCTTTGAAAAAAATGTGCTATATAAATTTAACTCTTAAAGTAAAAAAAAACGTGACCGTCATGTTGAAAGGGCATATATAATGACCGTACTATCAGTTTAAAATATTTATATTACGGTTTGTTTTTTATAAAATATATTTGTTTTAAATTAGTAATAATTTAAATTTTTTAATTGCTAACACATATTAAAACCTCTTTTTTTCAATTTTTCAAGACATTAAATCAATTATTATTGTTTTGACTTTCGTTCGAAAAGTTATATTCTACTTTTAGTTTTACGAAAATGGTCACACTGCGACACTCTAAGACTATGGCCGTCGCGTTTTTGTGTGATAAGTATTTTCCCCGTGTTAATTGTTATCAGTGTCCCGGGGTTGTATTAAAATTAAACCGTTATATTATATTATTATCAGCGTTTGGCGATTCGGTCGGTTTGATTTTCTAACGACCTCTGTATAATATCATTTGTTAGGCTTTGTCAAACTTTGCACAACACCGCATATACTATAATATTACCATATTATACTATAATACTTGCATATTATAAAAGTGATAATGTTCACACCCGACGTTATTGCCAGTAAACCGGAACACGGTATGTAACACGCATATCACCCGATTATAATAATATTATAATATAGTATACAAGTCTGATTGTAATAAAAGAAAATTGATAAATCGTGAGGATTGAAACGGACCGGGCATATATTGTATTACACACACACATATGAGATCCTTGCTTAAGATTCACGAACACGGCTTAGGCCAACAAGGGCTGGCGGGGGTTGGTGTGGCATTATTGCCCAAACGTGACTTATGGCGTGGGATTAACAAGGATCACTCTCTATATCCAGTGTGCTGGATGCTGACTAATGACCGGAGGAGGACCCCATCATGACAACCGACAGATACCGTCGAATAAGCGCGATAAACGATGGGCAATAAAAGAGACAATTAAAAAAAACTTATGAATATTATGTGCATTACAAGAAGCACATTTAAGTACAACGTATTACACACAGGTACACATAGTTAACGGGTACACCAAAACGTGTTAAACCTACGAGGAGTTAACGACGCCAACACAAAAAGGTTGCCCGGGCCAAGTGCATTATTTCTTATTACTTCAAATTTACATTACTCCAATGGGTCGCGCAGTATTATGGACTCAAGTCTGTAAATTAAGAATAACTGGAAGTAGTAACAATATTTGAAAGTAAATATTGTTCATGATAAAATAAAACTAACAAAGAGCAAACATAGTGTTTTATCAATACATTTACTTTCGATAGATGTCATTTTATAAACGAATGCCCTTTAGAATTGACAAATATAATGTTTGGTAAAATGTGCCAAAAAAAATACTCATATTCTTTACAATTATTATGAATTATCATGTATTTTTATTCAAAGTAAGGAATATTTATATATATGTATTGATTATTGTGTCAAGGAAGGTAATTGAATAGGCATGTAAAAATACAATTTTTTTAATAAAAAAAAAACTATTTGTGTTTTATTTTATAGAGCGACACATTAAATATTTATATTTTATAACTAAACGTTTTTAATTGAAATTAAAATTGGTCCTTTATTTTGGTAAAAAATCGAATTTGACTCTATTTTTTTTATTAAAAGCTAAACCATAAATTGCACTGCTCAATAACCTAAAGAAGAAGAACACCGTGTAGAATTACATATTAATAAAAATCAAGTATGATAATAGTATAGTATGCAATTATTCATTAGGAAGTGTCAAGTAGGTACAAAATTCTAGATATTGAAATCAGTTTAATTAGTCCAGAAAATGCATTTTAAAAAAGCTGTAAAACCTTTTCAGCTTCACATCAAAAATATAATATATTACCAAAAAATTAACCAAATGTTAGAACAGTTGTATATCATTATCAAACAATTGCAGCTGCTGCGCTGGTGATACAAATTAAGTATAAATTGTTTTTTTTTTTTTAAAAAAAAAGAAAGTATCCATCTATCTAATCGTGGGGAAACTTAATTAGGTAGGTACTTGTTTCCATATCTCATATGTGTGCAACCATGTACATCATCGGCGTAACAGTCTTAAATATAATATATTAATCTGAATAGTAATTTAGCCATTAGAAACGTTCTCAAAATAATATTCACTCTAAGTGTGCAATTAATCATTCAATTGCAACTGCAATACTTTTTTTTTTATTTCTCAATAATATTACATATAGAAACTATATTATATAGAATATACAAAAATAATATAAATATATATTTCAACATTTTTTTACCGCCTGGTGGACCGAGAGGGTCAAAAAATATTTAAATCCTTTAAGTCTTTTTATTGCCAAATAGCATCGCAGGTGTGATTTATTACCACTATTATTATTATTTCATACGTGAGCAAAATATATACACACTTAAGCTTCGAGAAACGCAATTCATAAATTACCATGACTTAAGACATAATAAATCAAATGCACGTAAAACTATTATAACACTGAGGTTATTAGTGTTTATTTCGGATTAACGTTATTTTTTTAAGATTCATAACAACTAATTAATTTCATCTTATATCGTATCGGGGAACCGTCGAGAAAATTATAAGCTGCATAACAACAACAACAACTAACAAAAAAAACATGGATTTATTAAAAATGTAATTTATTTAATGACGAAGGAGATAATATAATAATGTTTACATATGTAGTTATATTGTAACGCCCAATTATAAGTCCAAAAATTGCGAAAATGGGGTTTAAATATATTATAAGGGATGAATTGTTTTTTTTTCTCGTGTAAAAAAGTATTTTATACAACAACCGTAGTTACATATTTTATGTTTTTGTTGAAAGTTTTTAAATTGTATTTTACCAAAATTAGCTGTTAGCTGTTAGACCTTTTAGCCGAGCACCGCAGAATCGTTTAAAGCCATGGCTTGGGGGGGGGGGATTGTAGTAAGTGTATTATTGTCAATAATATATTGTATGTATAATTTTGATGTCGGAATCCCTGTGGGAAGTTAAGCCCACGGTTTATAGAGCTTTAGACTTGACGGCATAGGAGAAAACTCAAAGTCAAAATGTCAATCGTCGTCGTTGTCTTTAACCACCAAAACCTAACTTGGACTTCCAAGACCGGATTTATTTGACCTGTAGTTAGTCAAAGGGATTGGCAGTGGTGGTGTGTAATGTGTG